TTTTGTGACCTTTGACCTTGAATAAGTCAAAAATCGCACCCGTGCCTGTGTCCAATAGTATACCAAAAAAATCGTTACAAGTTGTACAAACGTAATTTCAAAGAACATAAGGCGCAATTGTGCGATAGCTGAGTTATCGCCAATTTTGAGGGCGACTCCATACAAATTTTCAGAGAAAACGTTCTAATTGTGCCAAAAACATCGATACAAGATAAATATTACGTTATAAAGTATGCGTTTACTGATACAAAGCACATTCAAGCAAAAAAAGAGACATTTCAAACATCAGATAAAGTTGTCTATGGAGCAACTGGGTACAGCCCAATGTGTGCCGGAGACCTAATTTTAGTCCCTTTCCATCCTTTTCTTAAGAGGAAAGGATGGCAATGATAAGTGGATTTGACGGTGGAGGAGATGAATTGGAAGAGGACATTTCCTCTTTATGTGCGTCTCCTCCTTCGTCAATCAAGGGTAGATAACGCATCTGCAATTGCAGATTTTATGGGCAGCGGACGCTTTCCGGTAGCCGCTTGCTCGTTTGCCACCTAATGTTATATAAAAAAAAGGACGTTAGTCATGTATATGGTACACCGGCAGAGGTAGACCTAGAAAGAGATGGATTGCGTGAATGGTGACATGATAAAGAAGGGTGCACCGATCCTACCGGTGATAAGGTAGAAGAGATGATGAAATACTTATAAAAATTATAAAGTACAGAATTACAACTTACTCTATAATGAAGATGGGTCATTGGTTTACCAATAGACCCTGGGAGAGAAGAGACGGGATTTAAAGTAATGCCACAAACTTCGCTGCAACCGTATGCCACGTAGGTCTCCGTTTCAGGTGTTATTATCTGGAAAATAAGTTACAAATTAGTTACTTTTTTATTACAATTTTGTCTTTGTTTTTAGTATCGTCTTTAGAGCGGGCACACCTGAAACTATCGCAAAACTGTTTAGTCTCGCTTTGATTCCTATCTTATATAGAGGTACGCACACTACTGTTCAGTTGTGCAACTAAACAGTTGAGGCTGCGAAACAATCGACAATCGTACAACAGTTGTGCCATAGTTTTATCGAAGGTGTGCTCTTACTTTGCTTGGTAAATGTTATGTTTCAAAATGAAAACAAAATGAATTTAGCTCTCATTTATTGTGATCTCCTGACTAAACGACTTCACTGATTTTGAAAATTGAAGTTTCATATTACAGTTATTCTGATCTAGACGTAATAGGGTTAAATACTTTATTGGTTTGTCAAATTACTATTGTTTACTTATGTTAAAGATAAAAGATTTCTCAACCAAAGAAATATTATTAGTTTTAAAGTACTGTTAAGTGAAAGTTGCAATTATTTTTTTTACCTTCAAGTCATCAATCAGTGTCTGAGGCACAGCACTACCTCCTACCAGTATATACTTGAAAGACGAAAAGTCGCATCTATCTCGTGTTTCAGGTTTCGTCAGAGTTATAGCCATTGTCGGACTGATTATCATGAATTCCGGCTGTAATTTATACGAAATATATTTTAAATTTTGAACATAATCAGAACCTGAGTTGGGCCACCGAAGTTGCGGATAAAAGGAGATTGCATGTGGCTGAGATACGTATGTTAAGATGGATGTGTGGTGTGACAAGATTGGATAAAGTTAAGAATGTGTGTATTAGAGAGAGTTTGAAAGTAGCGCCTGTAGTGGAGTAATTGAGAAGCAAAAGGTTAGCGTGGTATGGACATGTCATGCGACGAGTCGATGGAAACATGAATGTGGATAGCTACAAAGGAAGAGAAAGACCGAAAAAAGTATGGATGGATTGCGTGAAAGAGGATATGCTTAAGAAAGGAGTGGATTCAGATATGACGGCTGACAGAGACGTATGGATGAGCAGCACATACTGTGCCGACCCTCCATAAGGGATAAGGGCAAGTTGATGAGAACCAAAGGGTAGTTAAATAAATATTTATACCTTGTATTTGTTGATAAGATCATACGTGTGTTCCGTTGTCGTTGGTAGAGATGTTTGTATTCTCGTGAACTTCATTATGGGCGATAGAATCAGGCTAAATATCGCTGACAGCCACTGCACCGGCGACACTATCAGAACTCTATCAACTGGCGACGGGAACTTGGATGTTATCAACCTGTGACCAGAAAAAAAATAGTTTACTTTTACTGGATCATACTAATGTTATAAATGTGAAAGTTTAGATTTTTTAACAATATAAGGTGGCAAACGAGCAAGCCTGAATCCACCGAAATGGAAAGCGACCGCTGCCCATAAACATCCGCAATCACAGATGCGTTGCCTACCCTTAGTTGACGGAGGAGTTGACGTACATAAAGAGGACATTTCCACTTCCAAACCTTTCCACTTAAGAAAAGGGTGGAAAGGGAAAGGGACTAAAATTAGGCCCCCTCACCACACTCTCAGACGAAACGCGGAATTGCTTCACGCCTGTTTTCTGTGTGGATGGATGGATGTTTGTTAGAGTTTGTAGCCTAAACTGCTGAATGGATCTCAATGAAATTTGGTATAGATGTAGAGGATAGTCTGGAAGAACAGATAGGCTATTCCTTTTGTTGTTTTAATTCCCCGTGGAAGGAGTCGCGGGCGATAGCTAGTAGATACATATAAATGAAATGTTTTATTTACCATACGTAGGGTAGACTAAACATTAGGTTTTTATATGTGAGTGCAGCACATTTAGGTTTCCCAGTCGTCCCACTTGTGGAGATTAGTAAACAAGTTCTCTCTTCCGGGTTAAAATCAGCAGGCCTGAAATGTATCTTTTTTAAAATCAAAAGCAACACGGTAATCTTTACTTGGAATGTACGGTAATACAACCAAGTACACCTAGGATAAGATACGACACTAACAGTGAGGCAACCAGTACAAGTAAATACAAGTAACACGTTTACTGCGGCAAGTAAAATCATAATTCTTCATCTGGTGCGGTGGCGGGCCGAAATGCGCCCCCGGTGAAATTTCCGCCAATGCGCGTCATATCATACAATTCAATTCAAACAAACTTCGAAAAAATAAAAAGATCATACAGTTTTACTACTTCTAATTTTTTTTGTGTAATATTTATTATATATATTCGTACTTGAAATCCTCCACAGATGTATCGCTTCCATATTTTTGTATGAACTCCGTAAATTCACATTTACCACCTTTGTTGTATGTCACTATTCTTGCATCTAAATTCATATTCTTCATCGCTTCTTCAACATCTCCTTCTCTTTCACTCATACAGAATATGACTTTTGGCAAACATATCTCAAAGGTATCTTGAAGCTCCTCTAAAAATTAGAATATTCAATTTAATAGCGTACACACAACTGTAACTACACTATCGCACAACTGTCTAGTCTCGCCTTGATGTCTATGAGCTATGGAGGTATGGTCACAGCTACTAAAGTAAACAGTTGAAGCTGCGAAACAATCGACAATCGCACAACAGTTTTGCGATAATTTAGTCAAAGGGTAAGGTTAAATCAAGGTCGTACGAATTTGATTACATTTTTAACTAAACATAAGTTTAAATGACTTGACTGTGACGAATGGATAAGATAAAACTACATAAACTATATAAAATATAGAGAGTGAGAGGTCAAGGATATATCATGGTTATGATTTTTGCTGTCATACTGTTGAGGCTGACAATAATACTTACTGATTCCAAGCGTACTATCGACACCAGCAACTATCAAACCTAAATAGAAAGCAGCGTACATTGAAGTTGTTAGGTCTATACAGTTTGGTGCCATAATGAGTATGACGTCATCATCTTTCAATCCTATCGCACGGAAAGCATTCGCACAACTAACTGACCTTTCCAGAGCATCTTGGAATGTGTCTGTCTCTCCGGTACCACCATCTATCTGTAAATATCATTATTTACAATTGTTACTAAATTAAAATTGTATAAAAATCTAAAAACAATTGTTACATGAATATGCTTACAAGTGCGATTTTCTCCACGCGGAGTTAAAAAAAAAAACAAATACAAGCATATGTGTTCTTCCCGACTATCCTCTATCATCATAATCTTTCTCATAGTGCTACCGTAGTGGCGCAACAGGTTTTTGTCCTCCAAATAACTCTATTATACGTCATCTCAGTCATCACTCCCTTCTTGATCATGTCACCTTTCACGCAATACATCCATCTCTTTTTAGGTCTACCTATACCGATGTACCTTTCCACGCTCATAACTAACGTTCTCCTTGTAACATGGGAGTCATCCCTACTCATGATATGCCCATACCATGCTAACCTTTATCTCCTTACCTTCTCTACAACTGGGGCTACTCTCAAACTTCCTTTATATCTATGCCAAATTTCATCAAAAAAGGTTGAACGGATTCAACCTTTTAGGGTACAAACTCTAGCAAACATCAATCGATCTAAATTTTGCATTTATAATATTAATATGATGGTAGTCAAGTCAATAGTTTGGTTATTACTACTTAGTTAATTTATTACAATATGAAGTGATCCATTCGCGACTTATAATTAGGTAGCATACATCATAAAAAATGTTTATTTTAGGATACAGTTCCATCACCTAATGTAAAGTGGACTTTGGACTTAGAGATTAAGATACGAGTATGACGAGTTTTTATTGTTTGCGTGTGGTTTATGTTCCTACTAACTTTCGCTCGAGACTCCGTCTGCGTGGAATTAAAAAAAAAGCAAAAGTGAGTAGTCTATATATTCTTCCAGACTATCCTCTACGTGTATACCAAATTTCATTTAAATCCGTTCAGCTGTTTAGGCTACAAACTCTTCATTCATTCATCCATCTAAACTTTGACATTTAGTTTTAGCTAGTTTACTAATATTTCCTTTAACCACTCCAACTAAGCTCTAGGTTTGTGCTAGGATATGGTTTATAATGGTCGAAATGTGGGACCCTTTGCCTAAATGTCTATAGGCCATACCTCAAACCATTAGGCTACTGGCATAATGCAAATATCAAGATACTAGCTGTTCCCTTGCTACTTCATCCGCATAAAATTATGAAAATTTTATTTTATTGTTTACATTTGTCAAATTATCAATTGCAAATGTCAAAATGACATGACATGATGACAACCTTGCTTCCTTGATGTTGGCAGCAACTTATGGTCTCTTTCCCACATTAGGGTTTTTATCTAAAATATTTACCCCCTAAGTTTAATAGCGTTTAAATATATAGCCTAAAGCGTGACGTAAGTGTAGGGCTTTTTATTAAAAAAAGAGTTATTCAAAAATATGCTGTAATTGCTGACATCTTAGGTAACAAAGTGTGTGTTTACGCTTTATTATAATAGTATAGATTTGAATGTTGCCTAGTGTTAAAAAATACCTGCAGTATGTTATTCCGAGCATCTTTAAGACTGTGTAAGATGAGTTTGCCGAGGTGATGTCTATCCGAAGGGATGCCACTGTTAGCGACCACACGACTTCCCAGCTCATTTAAATACCAATTAGAAGCATCACTAGCGTGTTTGTGGTACTTCATTTTTATCTGAAAGTCCAAAAAAACTCCTGAAAAGCAAAAGTATTCTTTTTATTTATTTTAATTACTAATATTATGATAGCAAAGGTTTAGATGAATGGATGGATGTTTCTAAGAGTTTGTAGCCGTAAAGTACTTGATGAAATTTGGCATAGACGGCATAGATCGTCTAGAAATCTTCTAGGAATATATAAAGGAACACAAAGGTTACTTATTTTTTTTAATTCCACAGAGTCGCATGCGAAAGCTAGTTTTACAAAATTTACAATATTTATTTCCTAAACTAATAACAAGTCCCGTCTTATGAGATATTTTATTTCACGACAAATAATTCTATTTCCATTCCTAGCGAAATAACGCTAGGTTTTATTAAAATAACTACACAAACGGTAAATATTAATTAAAGTGCTTCTTTCTTGTCTAACACATAAACATAAAATTTCTACTTACAGCTTTGTTTTTTTTTAAAAAAAATGAGCACTGAACATACAATTAAGATAACTGTCGTCTTCAGAGTCCATTAAATACTGCGATCAGACGCGATCTGCACTTATGTAATGTTGACGTTAATTATTGATAAGGGTAATGTTACACTGGGAAAGTTAACAGTCAAATGAATTAACACTTCAAATATTTTCTTTTTTATTACAGGGGGAAATCTTCAAATACCCTGCTATCGGGGGAAATGCGTAATGCCAGACTTACCATCGCCTCGGTGGCCATCTTCAAAAACGTCTACAAAGACTCGAGATCTTCAAATTCATGAAATTCAACGTGTTAACACACTCACTGTGTAACAGGCCGTTATCGGCCTGACGCGGTACTTAGCTGGTGCGGACGAAGAAAACTATGTCCCTCTCGCTAATGCGAAACGATTATCTCAGTTGTATGCATTACATGTATACATTACGTTTCTACAAATTTATAGCAATGGAATCTATCTTAGTGCTGGTGGGTCTAAAAAGACCTGCCTCGCACTGCGGAAATATTGGGAGCGCATTTTGGCCCGCCGCCGCACTAGATGAAGAATTATGATTTTAATTGTCGCAGTAATGTTTTTAAGAATAAAATATTTGTTTTAATATTTAAATTATTCTTATAATATGTTCTAAGTAATATTATGTTCGTTACCAAAGACTATTTTTTAAAACATATGTTTTATTATCAAATCTTTATTAATACATCAAATGTACGTAAAGATTTTACACAATTTAATTAATTACAAAGGTATATATATAAATAGATAAGTACATATTTTATTGTTTAAAAGATAAATAAAAAAATGTCAATGCGTCAGTGTGGTCCTATCTTAATACTTAAAATTGCCAGCTGTGCTTTATCTGTACGTGCTTTATTATATTGGTAAAAATCTTTAGTTACTAAATATAACTTAAGATAGCTGACAATATAAATACAAAGAGGTTATGTGGATCCCATTTCTCTTTACCTTTCGAATGCAGTAAGACCACATATTGCCGTCTCTATTATTTGAAAGAGAATGTAAAGGACATGTATTATACAGTCATTATAGGGGACAGTATAATCAACTGTGCAAAACGTAACTCACATGACCTTGAGGTAAAACTGGCATTTTTTTTAACGAACGAATACGTAGTTAAAAAATAATTGGTTAAATAAATTTTTTTCGTTTGTTTTATTGTAGTTAATAAAATTGGCGGCTCGGAACATGATAGTCGTTGCGTAGAACACAATTTTAGGTGTAGCGGGACGCGGAGGGAGATCTCCGCGCAACATGCAAATGACCTTGAATGACGAAGCTATTTAAAAGCACCTAATATCTAAAAAAACACACTGTTAAAACGTTTGTATTATTTGATATTATATTTGTGGTTGTTGAATACTCTCGTACAACAGTTCCCGCAGATATTAAATTTTGGCAACTCATTTTATAATTATTATCTTGGAAAATTACACCAATAATATGCAAGTCATCTTATTACGAACGATTGTGATTAGATTGTATGTACAAGTGGTTATATAGCTAATATAAATATAAATATTTCTTTCAACGATCACCGTTACTTCGTAATATAGACATGATTTATTGAGTAATCTCGTTTGGCCAAAACCATTCTTATCAATCAGCAAACACTTTTTTCTATTTATCGCTCGCTTGTTACTTCCCAAATAGTTGCTAACAGCTAAATAATGATTTGTTTATCTCTGTCGGTTTTGCGTAAACTTCTGTTATATTGAATAGTGAATATCTGCCTGTTATTATCCCACTCATGTTGGGTTACAGCATGAGGTTATGTCCTCCATATCGATTTATCTTGCGTCACCTAAGTCGTTCCCTTCTTGAAAGCAATCCATCTATCCGTATCTAATTTCTTAAATGCAAGCTCCTTATAAACTGTGCGCCATAGATTTTATTAACTTAGAAATTAGAAGTACACAAATTATATGTGTAACATTTCTGATAACAATAAGCCAAATAAATTGTATACACTTTTGCTATTATTTTTATCCAGGCGTCAAAATATCTATGTAAGATCTGGTAATAGCTTTAATTGGTTTCATATAAAGAATTCCACATGTAAATATAAATAATCGCAGTAAAAATTCACTCTTGTAGTACTTTTATTTTTACTACCTTTAAAATATATGTTTATACGTATTTTAATCTAAAAATGTGGTATAGACTTAGATTTATAACTTCATAATAATGGTAGCCCTGATATTCCTAGAGCATCGCCTAGCGTTTATACTATTTAGTTAGAACATATATTGTTACATTGGAGTGCTTCGTAACATAAATGTAACAAGAATCCAAGGCGAAGGTCCAGGAACATACGACTAGTTATAAATAACTGCTGTCGTGAGTCATTACGTTATCATCGCTCACGACATCACTCGTATCGTAGTTCGATTTTAACTTAGAACAGGCACACCTACTAAACTATCGCAGAACTGTTGTGCGATTGTCGATTGTCGAATGTTTCGCAGCCTCAACTGTTTAGTTGCACAACTAAAAATTGAGTGCCTCCATAGTCATAGCAATCAAAGGAAGAGAAAAGAGTTGTGCGATAATTTAGCTTCAGGTTTGCGAACGTTCTTATCAAATAAGATCTCATCTAAATTGTAGATCTAAAAGTTACATTTATTTATAACTAGATGTCGCCAGCGACTACGTCAAGACGAGATTTTAAAAAATATTAGCCTATGTGTTCTCCCAGACTATGCTCTACATCTATGCCTTTCATGTAGATCCGTTCAATCAAGGGGATATCTTCTATCAAACATATAAACTTTCGCATTCATAAGTAAGATAAGATTTTATCGTTGGTCTTGTAAAGATATCTAGTCTACCTTATTTCAAAAGTCAATATGAAGTTGCTTTACACACTTAAATTCTCTTTGGAATATCATGCGTCTACTTTTGGCAATGAAAATGACAGTAAAACAGAAAAATGTGAACATCTCGATCAACAAGTTGACGTAAATAATTATTTCGCTGCAAAAACCTTTGGAGAACTAGTACCAACTAGTACAAACCGGTCAGACGTAACGTAACAATCTTGTTTGTTGTTATTTTCCGTTAATTACTTCATACTGATTAACTAGTGTAGAGCTAATCGCAAGTGACTTTAACCTGTAAATATCATCACATAACCAAACACAAAATTTAACAGTGGTAGAGCCCGCTTTGGCCGCGACTCCGTCGGCGTGGAATGAAATGAATGAAAAAAAAACAAAACTAAGTAGCCTATGTGTTCTTCCAGGCTATCCTCTACATCCATACCAAATTTTATCGGAATCGGTTCAGCCGTTTAAGCTACAAACTTTAACAAACATCCATCTTAACTTTCGCATTTATAATATTAGTATGATGGTGTTGTATTTTCATAACCAATGAGAATTTAAGTTAAAAATATAATACATTTGTTTCTGTTAGTTTAAATACTTCTTAAGTGTTTGTACCATTTTTTGTATTAGTACGATTTATATCGTGACTACTATGATTTTAATTGTAAATGTCATTACGTAGTCAATTTAATTTTAATTAATTTATCAGTTAAATTTTTAAGTTTGTTAATGTAAATTTAATACGACAGCACATAAATCGACATTTATTGTTAACTAGCTGGTCCCATGCGAATTCATCCGCATGAAAATAAAAATCATTTTATTATTAACATTTGTCAAATTATCAATAGCAAATGTCAAAATGACATGACATGACAAACCTTGGCAATCTTACTTTCTTGATATTGGCAGCAACTTATGGTCTCTTAGGGTTTATATCCAAAGTATTTACCCCTTAAGTTTAATGGCGTGAAAATATATAGCCTAAAGCGTAACGTAAGTGTAATATTCAAAAATATGCTGTAATTGCTGACATCTTAGGCAACAAAGAAGTGTGTGTTTACGCTTTATTATAATAGTATAGATATATAAATCTAGATTTGCTATTTCTCTAGTAGACGATGTTTACTTTAAAATGTTAGTTTGCGTAAAATGTGTTGTAAAATCAAGGACGACGTGAAATCGCTTGATTCATCGACAGTTACTTTTGTAAATCTATTCTCAGTATAAAACGTTTAAATCTATAAAATGCATCAATAAGTAGGACTTGATCTGTATAAATAAACTAGCTGCCCGCGACTGCGTCCACACAATATTAAGATAAAAGTAGCATATAGCCTGTCTATGTCAGCTACCTTTCAGTGAACGTCCGGTCGAAATCGGTCTAGCTGTTTCGGAGATTACCCGGAACAAACGCGGCTTGCAGACAGACAGACAAAAAAAATAATTGTGATTTTCGTTATAAGTAACGTAAATGCATATTTCCGATGTGGATTTTTTCTTTTGATAATACAAAAAGACACTTTAATTTTATTATATGTATAGATTATAGGTCTTTGCGATTATTGATGACAGTTAATTCAATCTCTCTTTTTAGTACCAATTGCCACCACCACTAACCGCGACCGTCAGCGCCAAGATGGCGAAAAACAAAAAGGCACAAAAAACTTATAACCTGTCCCTTTATAAAGGTTAATCGCAGAAATTATTATCGTAAATACACATAAGAATTAAAAATATTGATACGTTGTGTTGCACGATTTTGTAATTATAGATAGATTTTACGAAAGCCACGATTGTGGTTACTAGTTCAACAAGAAACACGCAGCAATCATAATAGCTATCACATCGCATTGTAACTGACGTGTGGTGTTTATTTACCGGTAAAATAAAATTACAAAATGGAACAACTTATCGGAAAGAAATACAAATTAAAAACATCGGACAATTTTGATGAATATTTAAAATATATTGGTAAGTAATTATTGTATATTTTCTAGTTCAAAGTATTTTTTTTAATGTATTTAAATAACAATGCTTCCATTGTTTAGTTGTCATTGACAATGTTTTTTACGTATTTATTTTTAATTAATGTTGAAATGAGGTTTTATATGTTTAGTAAAACTGCATTATTACCTAGTATTTTACTACTATTATATGCAAAAGTTTGGATGGGTGTATTTAGAATTTGCCGCCTAAATTGCTTAACGGATCTCGATGTTATAACAAAGACATTATACTATCTGTGCTGTAGAGCATAGTATGCATAAAGGCTACTTACTTTTGTTTTTTTAATTTCACATTGACCGAGTTAAAATTAAAAGTAATGTTCAAGTATTGAATTAAAATAACTGGCCATTTTTGAATTTGGTAATCCATAACTTTTTTTCTTTTTTTGTTTTGTAAACGAAAACGAAGTGGAAAACAGTAGTAACGACCTTTCTCTTATCTTATCTCTATTATTTACTTTGGTTGACTATTTGCCTCACATACCAACCAATCGACACCTTACAATCATTTCTATGACTGATCTCGTTTCGTCGGACGGGTCAAAAAACATTCAGCATTTTTACAATTTTTGTGGCATTTAAAATTAACACAATAATTTAATATCTGAATAGTTAAAAACAAATCGTACTCGTTCTTACTAACATAATGGATATAGATGTCTGTTAGAGTTTGTAGTCTACTCCTAAACGGTTCTCCATGGAAGGCATAGATGTAGAGAATAGTCTGGAAGAACACATAGGCAACATTTTTTTATTCCACGTGGACGGAGTCACAGGTTAGTTACGCAGGAGTTATGTGAACACTGCAAGGTAATATGTAATTTTCCATTGACGGAACTGTTTCACAATGCTTTGTGGTTTGACATTGACCATTGATATTTATCTTATTTTATACTAGCGGCCGCCCGCGACTTTGTCAGCGCGGAGTAAAAAATATCTAATTTACTCCTGCACATACATGTCACATTCCAATGAAAGTCTCATCAAAATCAATCAAACAGTTTTGGACGTTACACGGATCGAACGCGTATTTGCGAACAGACCGACAAATATTTAATATTCGTTATAAGCAATGTATACTACATCATGTTCACGATTTTGTTTTTGTTATTGCATACGGACACGCCAATTATATTATATGTATAAAAGATTAGTCACATGATTTCTGTTTGGGTTACGTAAGAGTGAGACTCACATATTTTTTCTCGTGGACAATTATTTAAAACTAGCTTCACCCGCGACTTTGTCCGTAGAATTAAAATACAAAAGTGAATTTCCTATGTGTTCTTCTGGACTATCCTCTACGTCTATGCCAAATTCAACTATTTAGGCTATAAACTCTAAGAAACATCCATCAATCCATCCTTCCATCTAAACTTTCGCATTTATAATAGCTTCGCCCGCGACTCTGTCCGCGTGAAATTAAAAAAGTAAATAGCCTATGTGTTCTTTCAGACTATCCTCTACGTCTACAAAGTCTTACAAACATCCATCCATCTAGATTTTCGCATTTATAATATTAGTAAGAAGTATTCGCTTCGGTGAATCCACTGCATCTTTATCAATCGTCGAAAGAGTCTTCTGTATACAGAGGGTATAAAGTATTGGGTGTCATAGATTTAAGTAAATCAAGGTGACTATCACCTCCTTAGCGATGTTAATGGTTATAAAACCATTAGCACGCGCGATTCGAACCGGCTTCACCAGATAAGGTAGCACACAACCTTTCAACTGTTGTGACGTTATTACGAAACATGGCGCCTTCTGCAGCGATTCCAACATCAGGGGTTATTTTAAATAACACTAGCTGTTCCCGTGCGACTTCATCCGCATGAAATTATGAAAATTTTATTTTATTGTTACATTTGTCAAATTATCACGACATCATTATATGATGTCAAACCATGGCAACCTTGCTTCCTTGATGTTGGCAACAACTTATGGTCGCTTTCCCACATGAAGGTTTTTTCCAATGTATTTACCCTCTAAGTTTAGTAGCGTGAAAATAACTATATAGTCTAACGCGTGTCGTAAATGTGTGGCTTTTTATGAAAGAGACAATTATTCAAAAATATGCTGTAATTGCTGACATCCTACAACACAAAGTAGTGTGTGTTTACGCTTTATTATAATAGTATAGATTATCGATGACCTAGAAGGCCGCTGCCCCTACCGACGCCCATATTTGCTTCTTTATGACATAGTTACAAAAGCCTTTTTTTTCAATTCCAGGCGTTGGATTCATATCTCGAAAAGCAGCAAATTCCGTGTCACCGACTTGTGTGTTGACACAAAACGACGATGGTTCATACACGTTGGCTATGCTGACTACATTACGAAACATTTATACAACTTTTAAACTGGACGAAGAGTTCGAAGAGGAAAGGGCGGATGGTACAAAGGTAACTAATATCTAAGTGCTTTTTTATAAGGAGCCAAATATACGCGAACACCGAAGTGATAATCGACGCCAAGACATTCGTACTACCATCAGAACTACAGATGGGTTTCTGGTCTATGAGAAGGTGATACGATTCTTGAAGGGTCCTAAGTCAATAGCAGTTTGTAACCGTTTACCTTTTTCTTGCCCTAAAATTCTATTGCCGTGTCAGTTTTTGCCGTACTTTTTACTCTTCGATTAAGGCGTAGTCACTAAGCAATAAAAATTGTTAACATAATCAGAGGAATTCGACAATGGTGAGGTTTTTAACCAACCGGTATTATTATTTTGATATTTACAGGTTAAATCAACAATAGTACTTGAAGGTAACAAATTAATACAGTCCCAAATAGAACCGAATGGAAGAAAATCAACACACGTCAGGGAATTCACACAGAAAACTTTAACAGTGGTAAGTATTAACAAATTTTTCTACGGCAAAATGTATAGTCGCGGAAATCCGCCATGATCCACTTTGGTGTTGCAACGGGATTATTCCCAACCGTCACCCCTCTTTGTCTCCAAGCGAGAATAAAAAGTTTCATCCGTCCCTCCTTTTAGGCCCATTTTCACCAATAAGGTGCAAGATGGAACCGTTATGAATTAAAATAAGTTCCAACCGTCCCCTCGTCGCAAAAGGTGGGACGAATGAAAATTTTACTCTCATCTGTTATCACGTGGGTACAGAGTGGGGTGACGGTTGGGAATAATCATTGCAGGACAAGCTCCGCCTTTTGCTACAAATAAGTAGGTTTAGTGTATTTGTTTGAAGGTCGGTTTTGTTTTTTTTCGTACGGATACTATAAGCTGCAATGTATTGGTTTTTATCCGCGTCTCATTTCAAAATGTTCAAATGATTGTTGTCTAAGGTGGAACGCCGCCAATTTCCCCGACTGTACATTTCCTATTTCATAACAAAAAAAATCAGTTTAGATTTGACTCGTTAGTAAAGTTGCTATTAATGTTTACACAGGCGTTTAACCAAAGAATAAAGTTGAATTGTTTGCAGCCATTTAAAATAAAAAATCTATTATAGATATCGTCTCAAGGATCGGAAATATTTTTACTTAGTGTTAACTTTTGCTTTTTATTTATCATTCTGGTTTTTATATAACTATTTTCTATTTCCAGACGTCAACTGCAGAAGGATGGAACGGCCAATGTGTCAGAGTCTACGAACTTGTTGAATAACGCTACATTTATGGTTTATTTAGATTATTTTTAATTCTTTACTATGGAGCATTGTAATATAAGCTTTTTTATAAGAATGTAATTAAATAATAAAGTAACAAGATCTCATTTTGCGTTGTGTTTTAATAAAGATTTCGATAAAGTTTAAAAAAAAAACAATTTAATGATAGATAATAGAAATAAAATTCAACGTAATTATGTAAATTCTTTTATTTATAGATTAAAGAATTCTCATTGAATATACCATCCATATTCCTCAGGAGTTTTTAATACCTCTCCATTGTGTCCCCACAATAACCTATCATTAAATACATCCAAATTTGAATCCAATATAATACCTTGATTGTACTCTTTATTTATTAGCAAAAACATTAAAACGTAATTAACCATAATTGGATTCAAATACCATTCAAATCTTTCTTCGCTTGTATCTTTAGAACCCCAAGCTTGTCTGTCACCGACATTATTTGTTATTGAATCCAATTTTAAAAATAAGCCATGCTCATAGTTCCTTATTTTGAACACAACACAATCATCCTTCAAAACTGGTACAAAATTCCATTTAACTCGTTCGCTTGTTTTGTCTTTACTATCTCCCCAAGCTAATCTATTTTTATCTGAATTAGTACCGTAATCTAATTTCAGAGCTAGATTAAATTTCTTATTCAATATCACCACATGCTCTTCTTTCAATATAGTTTGAAATACTAATGGAAAATATTTTGTAACTATGTCCATACAATTTGAATGCCAGAGTTGGTAAGCATATGTCATCACATTTTTATTACCTTCAACCAGTAATTTCGTTATAACGTCAAAGATTAAACTGCTATTGCCACTCTCATCGATTATTTTGCTTTTTAATATAGCATTAACGTAATTACCATCCACGACATTTTTATACAAATAATTACTTAGATCAGATAAATTCAAATAAGCACGGAAACTATTAAACATAGATAAGCCCAATAATTTCATTGGCAGAATAAATTCTGAACAGTAATTCAATTTTTTCTCTTTCAAAGCTCCTTCCAGCGTCTTTATATCAAGGGAATCTTCATTTAAACCGAACACAATGACTTTGCCGACCTCTTCATTGACGATTCTCGCTATATCTTTGGCACAACTTTCATTAATAGTTGCCCCCAGGACTGTTATAAGTTTTACGGAATTATTCTTGATATAACCACTTGTATCACAGTTTGTAGAACTAACAACTGGAATTCTGTTCGGTATTTTCCTGTTTTTATCCGGACCTTTGCTTACGAGTTGAGACACATCGTTAATATTATAACAATCAGCGAATCCTGTGCGACCTTCAGGGGCAGTTATTTTTCCTTCCCCCAATAATCGACATGATCAACAAATTTACAGTAAGATATTGGTATTTTTACCAAATTGTAATCGCCTATAAACGGCACCTCGGAATATGGATACTTTTTGTCATCATTTTTGTCGTAGTTCGGCGGTTCCGCGAATCTCCAAGTGTTTAAGAGGGCCATGTCTTATTTGATTACCTAAAAGTATTAAAACCGATTTGTAAAATGTATAAATAGTTATTATTAAAATTAATACTACACTAAAAAATAAATTAGTAAAGAAACCGTTATTGTTATTGTTAAGTTTAGGTTAGTAAGGACATGGGAAAATTATCAGCATTCTTCCTCCTTATCCTATTCCCGTAGCGGCGCAACAGGTTTTTGTCCTCCAGATAACTCTATCATACGTCATCTCAGTCATCGCTCTCTTCTTGATCATGTCACCTTTCATGCAATCCATCCATCTCCTTCTAGGTCTAACTCTACACTCATATCTAACACACCTTGTTACATACCATCATCCCTCCTTATACCATGCACCTACCATCACATGGAGATGAAAACTACTAAAACAATTAGACAAATAATGAGTTAATTCTAAAATATCAGAAACATATTAAAACAGAACTTACCACGATTGGGGCAAAAAAAAAAGCTGTTGCCCGCGATTATATCTGTGCGGAAACAAAAAAGCAAAGTAAGTCGCCTACGTGTTCTTCCAGATTTATCTACAATCGAGCTCCGTTCAGCAGTTTAGGCTACAAACACTAACAAACATCCTTCCAAACTTTCGCATTTATAACATTACAAGTTTTATAGTAATCAGCAACATTTCCAATGTGGTTTTTTATCTGACCTATTTAAATGTTGTGGTTCCTGATAACGATAACGGAATATGAAAATAACTAACAGTTCAACTGACAGTTTAAATTTTGCATGCACTTGTTGTCAGAACCAAGGATGGATCCAGCTTTGGCGTCAAGGGGGGTCACATAGTCGTGGTGAAGTCAAGAGATTGACAAAATATGTAAATATATTTTGTCAACTTGACCAACCAGCCCAGGGGTGGTCATGACCCCCCTACCCCTGGATCCGCCATTAGTTAGAACTAAGCGTCTTAAAACGGGATTAACTGTCTGATGTATTATCTATTTTCCGTATAGATCATACAATAAGAAAAAATATGTCATGCGGGAAAAGAGCAAAAACAACAAGCCAATAGTCGCAAAGAGTCAAGGTTACTTGATGTTTGCAATTGGCAGTTTTACAGAATGTAAATAATAAAACAGTTAACTATATTTTTTTAAAGAATGAAGCCACACTGGTACAGCTAGTATTAAGTGGAATACGAAACATTTCACAACTGATATCTATAGTCAAATCTATATAAATGAAGTAGATATTTTAGTGAGGAAACATTGTGATTCGTCCTGCACATATCTACGTAGAAATTCAAGATGTATGTGAAGTTAAAATGCGTTGGACCAGCGTGTTTGAATATTGGTCGCGGAAGAAAGCGCAAGCGTTCCCGTGACCCAGCCACTGGCGGACAGAAGGAACACCACTGGGTTTTTAGTGGTTATTCCGGCCATCTTCCATCTTCTCGGCCGGCGAGTCCCACATACCCCCACTGGTAACAGGGGGGATGCGTAAATGCATTTTCCCAGCGAGAAAAAAAATCATTTATCAGTGGTAGAGCCTGCTTTAACATCGTCGCACAAATGGGTCGGCTCGCCCCCAGTAATACCACGACCACACAGAAAACAGGCGTGAAGTGGAAGCAATTCCGCGTTTCGTCTGATAAGTGTGGTGCCGGAGGCCTAATTTTAGTCCCTTTCCCGTTCCACCCTTTTCTTAAGAGAAAAGGATGGGAAGGAAAAGTGGATTTGTCGGTGGAGGAGACGCATAGGAAGGAGAAATGTACTCTTTATGTGCGTCTCCTCATCCGTCAATTAAGGGTAGGCAACGCATCTGCAATTGCGGATGTTTATGGGCAGCGGTCGCTTTCCATTTCCGTGGATATATGTGGCCGCTTGCTCGTTTGCCACCTTATATTGTAAAAAAAAAGCGTGTTTGACTAAGACCTAATTATCTCCAATTTGTGGTAGACGCGAGCACATTTTACTTTTTTAGAGTCTTTAGGGGAGGTAGCTGCCCCCTCTGCCCCACAGTCAGTTAAACACTCGGCGACGCGTATGGGCTCGAGAATTTGAGATCACGTATTATGTAGGAATAGCCGATACGGATGGAGTAGCCAAAGCGACTTTATGTAATAATTTGGTAAGCTTTGCCCATGACACAATACTGTTATCTTAATCTACAAATAAGTATTAATACGATTATAAAGTGTCATTGTAATTTCATCATACAACATAATAGTGGAAATAACAGATAAATTAATGATGTCATAATTTAAAATATCACATACTAGCTGTTCCCGTGCGGCTCCATCCGCATGAAATTATAAAAATTTTATTTTATTGTTTACATTTGTCAAAGTATCAATATCAAATGTCAAACTGACATGACATGGCAAACCTTGGGAATCTTGTTTCCTTTATGTTGGCAGCAACTTATGGTCTATTTCCCACATTAGGGTTTTATCCAAAACATTTACCCCCTAAGTTTAATGGCGTGAAAATATATAGCCTAAAGCGTGACTTAAGTCTAAGGCTTTTCATTAAAAAAAGAATTATTCAAGAATATGTTGTAATTGCTGACATCTTAGGCAACAAAGAAGTGTGTGTTTACGCTTTATTATAATAGTATAGATAGTATAGATATCACATATTGACCTTTGAATCGTGACAATGTCATACTTTCTAGTTCTTAATGTTTACTCGATCATTCTGCAACGTTTCAACATATCTTATTAAAATTGGGCACAGATATAAAACAAAGTCTGGAGTACACATGAATGTTTGTTAGAGTTTGTAGACTAAACTGCTGAACGGATTTCCATGTGGATGATGTAGATGATAGTGTGGAAGAACACATAGGCTACTTACTTTTGTTTTTCTTTTTTTAATTCCACACGGACGGAGTCGCGGGCAACAGCTTGTGTAATATAAACGAGATAATCTGATTAGAGGAATGTTTCTTAATATCTCCCTAGCATATAAACGAATCCCGAAGTAGTTCAGATACAAAACACGGTATGGAAAAAGTTAGGTTACTTTAAAGAGTTTTTTTAATTCACTGCAGACGGAGAGGCAACAGCTAATACTGTATTATGCCATAACGAGAAAATACGAATTGGATATCATTTTCATTTTTGGCGTCTTGCAAATAACAGTAACGAATTGATAGGACGTGATTCAACATAAGACTAAAATCATCACATTTCTTAGGTTAGCCAACAGAATTTCCTATTTACTTAAACTATTTGAGATGTAGGTTTTATCCTGTGAGAATTGATCTCCAGAAAGTAGTGCCAACTTAAATTATAATCCACGATATGCCACTGGCTTTTGTTTCAATTTTTTTTGCATTTAAATCCGAAGCAAAAGTATCTTTTAACAACACGAAAATATTTTGTATTATGATATCAATACACACCTATAATTCGTAATGATAAGATATTCATTATCTACAGGAAATTGCTTATAAATATCGTATGTCGGCAAATTCAATTATTCAGTAATCGACGATTGTTGATTTAGATTCGCAAAAGTCTAAAATGGCCTTCCTCGGTAAACTATACTCACACGACCGAGATGAAAACTATGAACCGTACATCGAAAGTTTAGGTAAGAACTCTTTCGTAATCTATACTGATAAAGAAGAAAGATTTGTATTTTTGTATGTATTGTAATAACTCAAAAACTATTTTCACTATAAAAAAGCTACGTTATCAGAAAATAACATAGATATTTTTTTTTAAATTTCACGCTGACGAAGTCGCGAGCAACAGCCAGTAAAATTGTATAACTAATATTTGACACCTTGATTTTCAAATATGTAAATATATTTTGCTTTATTGTTAAAACATCAATTTATTGTTAGCTAAATGTGTTTTTTTTACTAAAAACCATCGCTTGTTTGTCCATTGCCATACCAAATATAAAATGTTAAATGACTAGCTTGCACTCGCGAGGCCGTTAGCATGGAATTAAAAAAAGCAAAAGCTACAGTGTAGTTTACATCTATGACAAATTTCATTGAGATCCATTTAGAAGTATTGGCAACAAACTCTAACATAACATCCATCAATTCATCTAAACTTTAGAATTTATAATATTAACTAACTGTCTCCCGCAAACGTAGTTAGCGCTTTGAACCACCCGTTAGGCCAATTTAACACCGCGGAATTGAAAAAGTATGCCTGTCAATGTCAGCTACCCCGCAGTGAAATTCCCGACGAAATCGGCCCAGCAGTTTCGGAGATTGCCCGGAACAAACGCAGCTTGCGGACAGACAGACAAAAATTTTTAATGCGATTTTCGTTATCAGCAACGCAAATACATCATTATTCCGAAATCTGGAATTTTTCTTTTGATATTACAACAGACACTCCAATTTTATTATGTTTATAGATATATAGATAAGTTTAGTAAGATTAACTTTATAGGTTTGCCGGCGGATAGAGTAGCCAACTTAAAGAACTACAAGCCACAACAGAAGCTGGAGAAGAACGGAGACACTTACACCATGACAGCTGTCAGTGCAGCGGGAGATCGGACAATATCTTTCAAAGTAGGCGAGGAGTTCGATGAGAACCTTGCTGAAGGACATAATGTAAGCATAAACAACGCGATTTTACTTTGAAGAAATGTAGCTTTATGTTATATTAACTGTTGCTCGTGACTTCGGCCGTGTAAAATAATAAATAACTGAAAAATATGGCCTGTGTTACTCACTTATAGCTCTATGGTGAAAGAATTTTTGAAATCGGCTCAGTAGATTTTGAGTAATTCAATACATACAAAAATACAAATCTTTCCTCTTTATAATATTAGTATAGATAATGAATACATGATCATGCACATCGGTAGTCAATCTGGCTAAGTCTAGGTGAGGGGGCAGCTACCGCCAAAACAGTATTCGTATTCGTTTTTTTGTAGTTTCCAGGTCGCGCCACTTCTGCCCCCCGGCGTGCCTATTATCATGTAAAAATTAATTATCTATTAGTTTAAAAATTTAATTATATCGATAAAATGGCTATCGGTCATTAAAATTCGTTTGTTATGGTATCATGATATAAGCCGATATCAGTAATCTTACTAGTATTAAAACCGACTTCCAAACAAAATACACTAAAAACAAAACAAAATATTCTCAAAAAAACAGTACACTAAAAAGTAACGAAATAATCCTTTGAAAATAGTAAACCTATTGTAGCTGTTATGTCTATATTGTACAATTATTATTACTTTGATGTCGGTGTCAGCCAAGGTATGCAGTGATATTTATACGTAAGGGTTTCCACATTTTTACCATAACAATTAACATTTGTGAGTATAGTAACGTTTAAGTAATGAATCTACATTGACTGACACCGACTTCAAAGTAATAATAATTGTACAATATAGACATAACAGCTACAATAGGTTTACTATTTTCAAAAGATTATTTCGTTACTTTTTAGTGTACTGTTTTTTTGAGAATATTTTGTTTTTAGAGTATTTTGTTATGTTTTTAGTGTATTTTGTTTGGAAGGCGGTTTTGTTTTTTTATTAAAAAGTTTATTTATTTCTCGATTTTTAGTGAATCTAAACGTCGCAGTATGATAATCACTAGCTTTCAAACCAAAAATGAGTTATCTAAATCGATTATATAAGAAATTAAGTAAAGATCTAATACATCGTTGCAATCATTCACTCATAATTCTGTCCAGCCGCGCGCCGCTGTTGCCCGTGAGTTTTAATATTTTGATAACTTCTAGAATCTTTGTCAGAATTACATACTGTAAAGGGCAATTATGATCTACATTTAATACTCTATCGAGAAAACATATTTATTTGGATAAGGATTCATACCAAATAAGAATAAAAGCGTTTTAAATGAAGTCTATTGCATTTATTTGACGGTTTTCGCGAAACAAACGGTTATTGTGCGACAACCTTAAGAGATAGATATATACTATTGCGGACTTAAATATAGCTAATTAAATGAGCTACAATTCTTTCATACATCATTTTATGTAGATCTTATAGTTTAGGCTACGTAAGTCAAGAAAGCAAACTTTGTTACAAGTTGGTATTTTTTTCTGCGACTCGTAATTTGCTAATTATGATATCTCCTAAACTATTGATCGGAATTACACACTTCCAAGGGCATTTATAATCTACATTAAATTCTCTTGATGATAGACACATTTATTTGGATAAGGATTCATACCGAACACGAGTAATATCGTTGAAAGTGGGGTGTAGATTTCGAGCGATATTTTAATGAAAAAAGTGGTTATTGTGCGACAATATTAATAGATAGATATATACTATCGCGGACTTTTATTTAGCAAATTTAATGGGCTACAATTCTTCCATACATCATTTTTATGTAAGTCTTATAGTTTAGGCAAAGAAAACTTTCGCATTTATAATAACTTCGTCCGCGATCCTTCCGCGTAAAATTAAAAAAAAAGTAAGTAGCCTATGTGTTCTTCTAAAGTATCCTCTACATCTATGTCAAATTTCATAGAGATCCGTTTAGTAGTTTAGAATAGAAGTCTTACAAACATTTATCCATCCATCTAAATTTTCGCATCTATAATATTAGTAAGAAGTAAGATATTCGCTTCGGTGAATCCACTGCATCTTTATCAATCTCCGAAGGGGTCTTATGTACTCGTATAGAGGGGGTATAAAGTATTGGGTGTCACAGGTTTAAGTAAATCAAGGTAACTGTCCTTAGCGACGTTAATGGTTATAAAACCATTAGCACGCGCGATTCGAACCGGCTTCACCAGATAAGGTAGCACACAACCTTTCAATTGTTGTGACGTTATTACGAAACATGGCGCCTTCTGCAGCGATTTCAACATCACGGGTTATTTTAAATAACACTAACTGTTCCTGTGCGACTTCATCCGCATGAAATTATGAAAATTTTATTTTATTGTTTACATTTGTCAAATTATCACGACATCATTACATGATGTCACACCATGGCAACCTTGCTTCTTTGATGTTGGCAATAATTTATGGTCGCTTTCCCACATGAAGGTTTTTTTCTAATGTATTTACCCCCTAAGTTTAGTAGCGTGAAAATAACTATATAGTCTAAAGCGTGTCGTAAATGTGTGGCTTTTTATGAAAGAGAAAATTATTCAAAAATATGCTGTAATTGCTGACATCCTACAACACAAAGTAGTGTGTGTTTACGCTTTACTATAATAGTATAGATATAGATTATCGATGACCTAGAGGGCCGCTGTCCCTACCGACGCCCATATTTGCTTCTTTATGACATAGTAACAAAAACCTTTTCTTTTAATACCAGGCGTTGGATTCATATCTCGAAAAGCAGCAAATTCCGTGTCATCGACTTGTGTGTTGACACAAAACGACGATGGTTCATACACGTGGGCTATGCTGACCACATTACGAAACATTTATACAACTTTTAAACTGGACGAAGAGTTCGAAGAGGAAAGGGCGGATGGTACAAAGGTAACTAATATCTAAGTGCTTTTTTATAAGGGGCCAAATATACGCGAACACCGAAGTGATAATCGACGCCAAGACATTCGTACTACCAGCAGAACTGCAGATGGGTTTCTGGTCTATGAGAAGGTGATACGATTCTTGAAGGGTCCTAAGTCAATAGCTGTTTGTAACCGTTTACCTTTTTCTTGCCCTAAAATTCTCCGTGTCAGTTTTTGCCGTACTTTTTACTCTTCGATTAAGGCGTAGTCACTAAGCAATACAAATTGTTAACATAATCAGAGGAATTCGACAATGGTAAGGTTTTTAACCAACCGGTATTATTATTTTGATATTTACAGATTAAATCAACAATAGTACTTGAAGGTAATAAATTAATACAGACCCAAATAGAACCGAATGGAAGAAAATCAACACACGTCAGGGAATTCACACAGAAAACTTTAACAGTGGTAAGTATTAACAAATTTTTCTACGGCAAAATGTATAGTCGCGGAAATCCGCCATGATCCACTTTGGTGTTGCAACGGGATTATTCCCAACCGTCACCCCTCTTTGTCTCCAAGCGAGAATAAAAAGTTTCATCCGTCCCTCCTTTTAGGCCCATTTTCACCAATAAGGTGCAAGATGGAACAGTTATGAATCAAAATAAGTTCCAACCGTCCCCTCGTCGCAAAAGGTGGGACGAATGAAAATTTTACTCTCATCTGTTGTCACGTGGGTACAGAGTGGGGTGACGGTTGGGAATAATCATTGCAACGGGACAAGCTCCGCCTTTTGCTACAAATAAGTAGGTTTAGTGTATTTGTTTAAAGGTCGGTTTTGTTTTTTTTCGTACGGATACTATAAGCTGCAATGTATTGGTTTTTATCCGCGTCTCATTTCAAAATGTTCAAATGATTGTTGTCTAAGGTGGAACGCCGCCAATTTCCCCGACTGTACATTTCCTATTTCATAACAAAAAAAATCAGTTTAGATTTGACTCGTTAGTAAAGTTGCTATTAATGTTTACACACGCGTTTAACCAAAGAATAAAGTTGAATTGTTTGCAGCCATTTAAAATAAAAAATCTATTATAGATATCGTCTCAAGGATCGGAAATATTTTTATAACTTTTGCTTTTTATTTATCATTCTGGTTTTTATATAACTATTTTCTATTTCCAGACGTCAACTGCAGAAGGATGGAACGGCCAATGTGTCAGAGTCTACGAACTTGTTGAATAACGCTACATTTATGGTTTATTTAGATTATTTTTAATTCTTTACTATGGAGTATTGTAATGTAAACTTTTTTATAAGAATGTAATTAAATAATAAAGTAACAAGATCTCATTTTGCGTTGTGTTTTAATAAAGATTTCGATAAAGTTTAAAAAAAAAAAACAATTTAATGATAGATAATATAAATAAAACTCAACGTAATTATTAAAATTCTTTTATTTATAGTTTAAAGAATTCTCATTGAATATACCATCCATATTCCTCAGGAGTTTTTAATACCTCTCCATTGTGTCCCACCAATAACCTATCAAGATTTACATCAAAATTTGAATCCAATATAATACCTTAATTGTACTCTTTATTTATTAGCAAAAACATTAAATCGTAATTAACCATAATTGGATTCAAATACCATTCATATCTTTCTTCGCTTGTATCTTTAGAACCCCAAGATATTTTAGTGAGGAAACATTGTGATTCGTCCTGCACATATCTACGTAGAAATTCAAGATGTATGTGAAGTTAAAATGCGTTGGACCAG